ACCGTACTTCCGAATCGGGAAAGAGAAGTTACAAGCCTCGCAATCCCTTTCATTGCTTGACCCCCTTTTTTGTCGACANCAATGTTTCAAAATCACGCGAAAGAAAGAATTAGGGTTTCGTCCTGATCGCAAAACGGACCGGGTAAAAAAGACAGAGGCCTTGTAACGTCGTCGTACGATAGATTGTTTGGTCGGCGAGATTCTTGTCCAAGGCGTCTAGTTTCTTTATGTACAGATATAGGCCTTGTCTTTGACTTTTCACACGACAGTGAGATTGTCAAAATTGACTTGATAAAATGATGAATATGAATGAATTGATAAGATTATTTGACCCGTGATACCTAGAGCGCGGGTCAGTCTCTGATAGCTTTATTAATCAAATTTTTTTGGGGATTGTAGATTCAAATTTATACACTTCTAGGACTTTGTCCAAAAATGGCATCAAACGAATCGTTTAACCCAAAGAAAGAACCATCTTGTTTAATCTCACGTGTTTCGAAATACACGTTTGGAGGACAGTTTCCGCGAATCATCTTTTGCCTTGGTTCATTACATAGCTATTTGATTCATTATAATTCAGAAATTAAAACAAAGAAAATAAACATGTAGTATTATCCCGCGAGATGCGTGGGCGATCATCATATATATACATTATGAAAACAAGACATAATCTCGGGTTCTTCCAAACAGAAAGCATTTATTAATTGTCATAAACAAATAATTTCTGGCCAAATTTCTCTACATTAAGTTCATCTATAGTTTGAGCAAAAATGGCAGCGATGATCACCGTTGACTTACAAAACTCGATTCTCCTATGCATCTTCTCACTCCTCTGTCTTGTTCAAGAAACCCAAGAACTCACGAGGATATGATCTGCCTCCGAGCCCTCCTTCTCTTCCGTTCATTGGACATCTTCATCTTCTACTCTCTGTTCTACCTCACAAGTCCTTTCAGAAAATCTCCTCCAAGTATGGACCTCTCCTCCATCTCCGGGTCTTTAACGTCGGTCTCATTCTAATCTCATCTCCCTCTATGGCCTCCGACATCTTCAAGGCTCATGACGTGAACATCTCTAATCGCGGTTTTGCTCTGATCGATGAGTCTCTCTTCTTGGGATCTTACAGTTTCCTCAACGCTCCTTATGGGGATTACTGGAAGTTCATTGTCCAAAAGCTTTTTCGAGCGCAGGCAGTTGAGCTGGCACGAGTCGTCTGCGCAGAAGAGCTAGAGCGGTTTTATGCAAACCTGCTATATAAAGCAAAGAAGAAGGAGAGCGTTGAGATCCATAATGAAACGTTGAAGCTCTTCATCAACATAACTTGCAGAATAAGCATGGGGAGGAGGTGTTCAGAAGAGAACGGTGAAGCAGAGAGACTCAGGGACTTGATTAAAAAGTGCTCTGCCTTAACAAAGAAGCTCTTCTTTGCAGACATGTCGCGTAGGAAGCTTGGAATCTCACTGTTTAAAAAGGAGATAATGGAAGTTTCGCACGAATGTGATGAGTTTCTGGAGAGACTTCTTGTGGAACATGAAAAGAAACTGAAGGAGGATCAAGATAAGGACATGATAGATTTCTTATTAGACGTTTATCGAGACAAAACGGCAAGAGTCATTTAGAAACCATAACTATGGTAATAAACAAGATCACTAGGAACCATATCAAGGCTTTGACTATGGTAATTAAATGTTCTTTCTTTCATATCACACTATATAGGTTGAGTCATTTAGAAACCATAACTAGACTCGTTGTTTGCTGTAAATTTTTACGTATGACTAAGAAATTGTAAGAGACTTTCTCTGGAGCTACTGAGACCTCGGCGAAAGCAACCCAGTGGACAATGGCGGAAATCATAAACAACCCCAACATTTTTTGCAAAACTGAGAGACGAAATCGATTTTGTTGTAGGAAAAACAAGGCTGATTCAAGAATCGGATCTACCAAACCTTCCTTATTTGAGAGCGGTGGTTAAGGAAGGGCTAAGAATGCACCCAACGCCATTTTTGTTTAGGACGTTCAGAGAAACATGTGTGTTCAACGGGTTTCACGTGCCAGAGGAGACAATACTTCTTGTTAATGTACATGCTGCGATGAGAGACCCTGATTCTTGGGAAAATCCTGATGAGTTTGAGCCTGAGAGGTTTCTAGCTTCTTCAAGACCAGGACAAGGAGAGATAAGAGAGCAAGGTATGAAGTACCTTCCTTTTGGAGGTGGAAGGAGAGGTTGTCCTGGATCAGGTCTAGGGTATATCTTTGTTGGAACCGCAATAGGAGTGCTGGTGCAATGCTTTGACTGGAGAATCAAAGGAGACAAGGTCAAAATGGATGAAGCTGCTACAGGAACGAGTTTGACAATGGCTCATCCACTTAGATGCACTCCATTTTCTCGACTCGACCCTTTTTTACCTTTTAATTTCCAAAGTCCGAGTTCGTGACTTGTGACTTGTTGTACTTGCAAGCATTGGTATCCGATACCCCTTGGTACTTGTTATCCAACTGGATCCTTTGGTACGAGATGGATTAATAAAAGTTCTCTTCACTATTTATAAAAGAAGCAAACTTGCTAAAATAATGCCAATTCCGATAAATGAAAGCAAATATCCTACATCCAAATGTTCTTAGAGGCTATATTACTATTACAGAGCGTGACCAACAAAGCTGAAACTCTTCTCCCTCTTGAAGGCTTCAATCTAGTGTGAAACATGGCACTGCCTTGCCTTTCCTTTCTTGGTCTGAAGCCTCTCAAATACCCATGGATGTATAAACCTAAGACTCAGTTTCTAGAACTTGGAACTTGGCTGACTACTGTTTTCCCCTGAATGGTTTGGTCTTGGCTACATCTACTACTATCATCCACCCGTTAATAATCTGCGCAGAGAAAAAAACCCATCATAACATCTGTAATCAAACATCTCTCTCCCCATTACATTCATGTTTAGATTTTCGTTTGAGTAGATAAAATAAAAAAAACTTTAGGATCTCGAAAGCATAGCTTTACCTTTCCATTCATTACTTTTAGTGCAGTGCTTGCGGCTTCTTCTGTTGTGTACTCTATAAAGGCATAGCCTTTTGATCTCTTCGATATCTTGTCCATAATGATTTTGACTGCAAATGGAAGATATAGGCAGTGATCATCTACCTTTTCCCAATGATATTTTTACCCGTGAATTGTATAGTAAAATCATGAGTACCTTCAACTAGTTCCCCGAATCCTTCAAATGCTGCACGCAGTGTCTTCTCAGATGTGTAGAAAGACAGTCCTGAAAAGTTGAGCAAACCCACGATACATGTTCCATGGATCTTCCGAAAGAACTAGTTTGTATATTAAGATGCAGGCAATGAATTGGGGGAAGCATGAGTTTCCCTTTAAATGATGTCGAGATTGTGCCTCTAAACAGATTCTGCTATGTAACCAAAAGCATACATACAATCTCAAGTGTTCGACTGACCACCTAGGAACAAGGGAAGCAGCATGCATACCAGTTATAAACAGCTTCTTCGTCTTAACCGGAGGAGACTCATAATCTTCGTTTAAATCTTGTGTATTACCGCCTTTTAAAAAAGGAAAGAGAGCCAAAGTTACTACAATGTGAGATTATACACCGATATTCATCAAATCAGTAAATCAGCTAAAGATAGGTTCACAACGGTTCTAAATGATATTGTACCCCAATCTTTTTAACAGTAGATCAGTATCAAAGACAGACCTTCATAGTCTTTCTTTGGTGAATCGAAACAGTTATCAGGAACAACATCAAGAACACCAGGTACACCTGCATCAATTCAACACCATACCTTCATCTGTCAGTTCAACTCAGGACAAACATTGTTTTCTGATTTTACATTTGACAAACTGATTTTCCGTATCACAAACCAGCCAACTCCACAGCGCACATTTCATCGAGATCACAACAAAACCCGAACTTGGATTGCCAAGAAATATGATAAAGACACATCTGTGCATCCTTCTCACTGCAAAGCAAAGGGTAAAATGCTGATAAAAGCTGAATGAGACAATAGCTACCCAAAGGCATAATCAAAACAAGACACTCACTTCCCCAAAACCTTGGATAGCAATTGAACACAGTGATCAACCATCTGTGCTTTAGTAACAATCCCAACTCCTGGCTTGTCAATTCGAACCATCCAATGTTTCACTGTCCCATGTTCAAACGAGGAAACACATGTCTGGTTTCCAATGCCATAGTTCTTTCTCACAGTACTGTAATCCGCTTCAGGTCTAACAGATACTACTCCAGGTAAACCTAAAGTTGATAGACAAACAATTAAAACGCCTTAAGTGACCACCAACCATAGAAACAGAATCTGCAATTCGCTAATGCTCTCAAGCTAACATATAATACTCACGAGCGAGCTGACGTGAAGCATCTTCGTCGATATGACAACAAAACCCGAAATGGGTATCAAAGGAAGCATCATATATACTCATCTGCGCATCTTTTTTGCT